TAGCTTAGCTTTTCTTCTAAAGAGATATTTCCGTTGGGGATGTTGATGGGACCCAGGCGAAGACGAATCACAGTCCAGTCTGGATAAGATTACATTATGGAAGGCAAATCTAACTAAAATTCAATTGCATCTAGTGGCCCCCTCATATAAACCTCGGCATCATATATAATCCAATATGAATTCACCTTTTAGTATAAGATAAAGTTGTAGTTTCGAGATCTACTCATTCGGAACACTAAACACTATGCCTGCTTTCATATCCTGGAGCATTTCTTTTTTTTCGTATGTAAGTAGAGTTTGGAGACTACCAGTAAATCAGTAATATGAGATGTATTCACCCTATTTCGTCTAAGGTGATGAAGGATGGTAGAAGAATTTTCCCACAACGATACGAGTAGAGCTGACGTTTCCATTGAATTTCACATTGCCCTGCTTTCCCAAAAATTATTTTTATCCAGGGTGGACTGCAGTTTCGACTTCGCATTGGTCTTATCAACACCCCCAGCTGGAGTCGAACCGTGACAGTGTATTCATTTCATATTATTGATTTACTGGTAATCTCAAAACTCTACTTACATACGAAAAATAAGTTACTTAGTCGATTGTTATAACAAAAAATACGTTTGCTTCATCGACCATCCCATCAAAGAATACGATATGGCAAAAGGCATGGCCTTGCCTGAAATTCACATCTGACCTGTGACCCAACGGCACTCGTGGCAATGTAGCCGAGTGGCTAACGTGTCAAGCTCCCATTCTGCACTGTCACGGTTTGACTCCAGCTGGGGGTGTTGATAAGACCAATGCGAGGTCGAAACTGCAGTCCACCTCAGGCTGGATGAGAACAACTTTTGGGAAAGCAAGGCAATGTGAAATTGAATGGAAACGTCGGCTCTACTCATATCATTGTGGGAAAATTCTTCTAGCAGTCCTCCATCATCTTAAACGGGATAGGGTGAATACATCACATTTCTTTCTGTTTGAAAAAGAAATTGATTAGCTTAGTTCCTATCAAATAACTTCTCCTTCGAAATGTTAAGTCGTGTCATTATAAATAACTAAGGAATTCTTTAAAACCAATTTTTATTAATATATTCCTTGAAATTTACTTCTGCTCTGTCACCAAAAGACAATCGCGGCCTTGGAACGTCGTGGTTAACGTGGCGAGACCATATACTACACTACCTGGGTTCGAGTCCCGCTAGGGGTACTGGTGACATCAAGGGGAATTCGAAACTACAGTCCACTCTGAATGCGAATGCTTTATGGAAGGCAAGGCTATGTGAGCCTCATTGAAAACATGAGGTCCAATCATATAATTGTGGTAAAATTCAATTACCAGTCCTTCATTACTCTGAAAGAAAGAGGAAGAGAATACTTATTATTCATGCTCTACTAGTAGTCTCGAAATCCTTCTTTATAAAAACAAAGGTAAGCTATTTGTCGATTAGAATTTGCTCTAGTCCTACACCTTTTGCTGATACAGGCAAATAAAGGAGGGCTAAGCTGCTGCACTTATGCTAGCCTTATTCATACGTAAGCTATAATCTTCATAAATGTAAGCTCATTTGTCTGGTATATGAGTCGATTGCATAGGATGGGTCGCCCAAGGTATAGGTGAGATTGTGATGGATATTGCTTCAGGTTGTTGATGTTAAGATGCCTCCGCCAAATATGGTCCTAGGACTAACGTTCTGCTTTATTTGGTGTCCTGAATTAGCCATGCGTTACGTCAGTTCCGAATTCGGGGCTTATAGACATTTGCATGTGGTTTAGTGTTCAAATAAGCTCTTCCGGATAGGCCAGCAGGTCTCTCTCACAGAGAGACAACTATATTGGTATTAAACCTTTAAATATCCAGATATACAAGGTGTTATTGATATCTCAGGTCTGTGAGATGGCAACTTCTTCGCGAAATCCAATCGCCAAACTCGGAAACAATACTTCTTCGTATATGAAGTATATTCAGCATATTTCGTTTAAGGTGAAAAGGGGACCGTTAGTTGAATTATCGCCTAATTTTATGAATAAAATTTACGTCACAACTCAACTTCAAAATCCCTTGCTTCTCCAAAAGGTATTCTTATTCAGGCAAGAGCGGAATACAGTTTCTATCTCGCCTAGATCTAATCAGCACCCCCAGTGGGACTCGAAGCATGACAGTGTAGCGTTCGATCCCGACATGTTAACCACTACGCCACATTGCCACGAGTTCCCTCGGGTAAATTTAAAGGAAGGCCAGGCATTTTCCTGTATCACATTCTGTGGTGGGATTATCGATGAAGCAGAGTTGAATTTGCTATAGCACCCGACTATGCTACTTATGTTTCGTTTTCATAAGTAGGCTTTCGAGAAAACCAATAGATCCTATACATGAATTGTATTCATCCTAGTTCGTTTAGGATAGCTAACATGTCGAGATTATACACTGCAATGTCATAGTTCGAGTCCCGCTGGAAGTGTTGCTTAGACCTAGGCGAGGGCGAAACTGCAGTCCATCCTGGATGAGACTAACTTTTGGGAAAACAAAACAGTGCTAAAATGAGTGGAAACGTAAGGTAAAATTCACTTACCAGTCGCCTTATCGGCTTAAATGAAATAGGGTGAATACATTCCATATATATGATCTACTGGTAGTCTCGAAAACCTACTGGAAGACCTAGGTGAACTCGCATTGCCAAAAGTCGTCAGTCATAGCAGTTATGACAATTTACATCGTCGGATCGTGGACTTGGTACGTTACAACATGGTGTGCCGACATCGTAGTGGCATCAGTAAGTCTTGCCAGTCTTAGCCCAAAGGGACAACTCGCCAAAACGTGAAACTCTTAGGAATGTACAAAGTTCACGGTCTGACGTCGGAAATTATTATAACTGCTCTGTAAGAGACTTCCGGTGGTAGGGCGCCTTAAATAGGTCGCCATGTGAACACGACCAAGTTGGGAGAAGAGGTCGATCCACTTGTGATTGCGTAAGCCTTGTGTCGCAAAGGCAGTCTTTTTCTCTCGTACGGCAGCCCAAAGAGGACAGGAAATCCGGTATGTGAATTTACTGTTTCTTGGACGAACGGCCCGGACGAAGGGCTTCGGACCTGGCTCAAAGGGTGTCCAGCGGTGCTAGGCGATGGACTGGATCCGTTTGTTTCAGTGCCAGTTCAGAGTCACAAGGACGGTCTTTTTGTCTACTTCTTGTTGTCAGGCCCTCTACGCAACAGGTTGGACCGTATTGTCAACACTGAGCATGTAGTTGAGGGATGCTTGAGAAGAGTTTGATTGCTCGCTTTGCCATGGACGCCTCTCGTCTTCGATCCCCGAGCCCGGCCTGGCTCGATCACGAAGCTCTGCTGAAGGATACCCACCTGTCCACCATAGCTTCTCAATTTGCTCTGCCAAGTCAAACTGGGGTCATGTGTTGGCAATTCCTCGAATGTGTGGGCCCCTTCATTTGCTTCAGATCCTAGCTATAGATACTAGTTTCTATGCTCGAGGCCAATAATTATAGAGTTGGTGCACCCGATAAGAGGGGTGATGTCTGTATGCGCCCGTGAGTGCTATCGTGGGGGCACGAAAGATTTAGACGGGCTTTGTGTCTAAAGCCTGTCCTAACTCCACAAGATTTGGTGGAGTTATAGATAAGGCGAAATAGCGAAGTCTTCGAAGGGTGTGATTTCGGCACAGACTGGCATGCCCCTGATATACCTTTTACTGCCATAACAACTCAAAAAACCATCAAGGTCAGGCCGGTTTAGCGCTCTTGACACTCTGACAGCCTGTGTCGTGTATTCTGCCAAAAAGTTATAACGCAGATCGATTTGAGATGACATTGGAATGGCAACTAACAGACTAAGTGACTGTGACGACAGTAGCTATATCTTATTCCAGCATTTAAAACTGTGAATTGGTGCATTTTCATATTTTCACTCGTACGCCGTTTAGGCAACACCTTCCTTATCATCCCAAACACAGGAGACTTTGACAAGTTGTAGGTAGATGTTAAAAGGGAAAAGGAATCGGTGACAGTACCTACTAAGACTTCGACGAAAAATCTGGAAATACACCAAGTAATTGATTCTATCGAAGATATGAAGACCAAGATGGTGTGGCATTTTGTGTCCTTTCGTTTGTCTCCTTTCGTTGTATATAAGTTGTTTGACCTTGTTTTCGCAACTTGGTCATATTGGTAGGAAGAATTGGAGGAACGCACCTAATACGGAGTCTATTGTATGCATAATAATTTGCAAAGTCGGAACGTGGATTTCGTACATTCCCAGACGTTTCGTCGGCCTCGTCAGTGATTCTTGCCATTCATGTATGGCTATGAATGGCAAGACTCACTGACGATGTCGACTACGATGCCGGCGAAATGTCTGGGAATGTACCGCGTCCACTGTCCTACTCTGGAAATGATGATGCATACAATGGACTCCGGACTTGGTGAGTTCCTCTAAGTCTTCCTACCAATGTGACCAAGTTGCGAAAACAAGGTCAAACAACTTTTATTGATTTTATGCTGGACGAAGGCATGACGATAATGTATACTCGAAAGGTAGCTGAGCTTAGTCGAATCTCTTGAAATAACATTTTTGCGGAGAATTTGACTTCGTTTAAATATGCATGATGAAAAGATTCTGAGGTCGATCTCACCTTAAATCTAAGATTGATTGCCGTTGTTCCACATCTGTTTAACTTAAATACAACATTCAGGTTGACGCAATCCACGAGACATTTTCGGGGGACATTTTCGAGGGACATACCCGTTTTGCATTAAATACGGGCTAAGCTTTGTTCCTGCAGCCAAAAAATGCATCGTCAGAGCTGGAAGTCAATTTTTAAAGTCAAGAATAATTATATGAGATGTATTCACCC